CTGAGCTTTTTCTACCAAAAAAGCCCTGTATAAAACAATTTAACAAAAGTATATGTGTGTGTTAAGTGCCATCAAAACATTTATGAATTATGGCAATTATGAATTAATGTCCTCAAAAATGTCTTATTGTTAACGGCGTTGCTCAGGTCTTGCAAACTGGGGGGCCATGCCTTCCTCTATTGAGTCAGTCCATCTCATGTTGGGTTTCCCTCTTTTCCTGCTGCCTTCAACTTTTCCTAGGATTACTGCCTTTTCCAGTGAGCTGTCTTCTCATAATGCGACCAAAGTATGATAGTCTCAGGTTAGTCATTTTAGCTTCTAGGGATTACCTCCATAAAGAAAGCCAGATGAAGTGGAGAAGGGTTCTAAGACAACCTTCACCTCCAGATGCCAGGTTTCTACATGGAGGAATCTTTGTTTTCCAGGTGGGGACTTCAGGAGCATTCCATACAATGAGTGGAGTGGAGACTGATAAGGTCCAAATTGAGAGGCCAGTTTGAAGCTAGCAGTATCTCTGGCCAAGTTTGGTATCAGGGTAGACTCACTCCAAGTTTTGGGAGACTACTTGCTGGCAGGAACTCACACCAGAGTTAACATTCTTTATTTGAAAATACATAAATAAGTAAAAACACGCGTCTTCATCTGATTACTTTAAAAAAAAGTTTTAGAACAAAATAAATAAATAGATTTTTTTTAAAAATCGAGCTAGGCAGGAAAAATTGGGTGAGCATGGAGGCATCTATTGATAAAGGGAGTTTGCCTAAGCCAGTCGCTTCTTGGCTGTATAGCGGGGGGGGGGGCATAGGGAGGTACTGGGCAGCATTCAGCTGAACCCTAGTTGTTGCATGGCACTTGGGGGGGGGAGCAATGTTGATGGGATTCAGCACCTCTTGGACACAATTCTGTGCAGATCTCGGAAGCTAAGCAGGGCCGACCCTGGCAAGTATTTGGATGGGAGACCTCCGAAGAATATCAGGGCTGGGAGGCAGAGACAGGCTATCAAGCCACTTCTCTGAATGTCTTCCATGCCCCAGTAGGAATCGGCAGAGGTCACCATGACTTCCAGGCATGGGCACACACGCACGCGCACGCGCGCGCACACACACACACAATGCAAAAATACCAAGAAAAGAAAAGAAAAAGAAATGGGTTCATGTGAGGCTCATTAAATTACAAAAAAGGTTTGTCTGTGCACACACAGAGTACTCTTCCTCATCACCACTGAATAACTACAGACAGTTGCATTTTGCATTTTGGGTTAAAGAGAAGCGATAAAGCCATCCAGCTCGGTTTCCAGGCAGAGTCAACGGCTTTCTTTGAAGAAATTAAAATATTTTTAGTACAAGGACAGCTCTCTTCCCCAGGCACCTTGGTTTACTCTCGCCCTGGAAATACCAGCTTTCAGAGGAGACATCTGAATCATCATATTCCCATAATATGTTCAAACATTAATGTTCCTGCCCTCATAGAAATACAGCTCAGATCTAGTTTATTTGACTTGGCCAGAAGCCATAACAAAATTTAGGATTATAAAAGATGTTGACAGAAGATGGAAAGACGATGTAGGCAGAAATGCAAAGTCATTTAAGAAGCTTACAGAACAATAAAAGAACTTACAACGGAATGTAAGCCATGATATCAAATTTAAAGCCCATTGCTTGGCAGGCAGAAAGTTCTGGCGAGTTTTACCCACTGCCCGAACAAAAATGTGCTACATTTCGCATGATCATACTATTATTAATCTGCAAGCATTTCAAATGTTCCATTTTCTAGAGCAGAAGACATGAATGTCACCCTTCCCCGACTACATCCACATTACAGGGAAGCCCGCAGCTTAGCGCTGTCAACTCCAGGTTGGAAATTCCTAGAAATTTGGGGAGTGGAGCCCGGAGATGGCAGGATTTGGAGAGGGGAAGGAGCTCAGCTGGGTATGATGCCATCGAGTCCACCTTCCAAGCCAGCCATCTTCTCCAGGGGAACTGATCCCTGTAGTCTAAAGGTCAGTTGTAATTCCAGGAGATCTCCAGACCCCACCTGGATGTTGGCAACCCTACCCCTCATGCTGAGCTCCTCCGTGGCAATCAGCAACAATTAATGTGTGCTCTTAAAAGCCATAAGTGTTCACCAGAACTGAAAACGAAACCTGCCAGATCATGATTCCTAAATGGCAGCCTTTCTAGGGACTACTGACTGAGCTGAAAAGAGCTATTCCCCCCATGTTGCATGCCACATTAACCAAATTAACAATTTTCCAGCAAATTTTTAGGGTCACTGGTGCAAGCAACGTAATCTTTCTCCGAGCCAGCTTGGGGAATGTCTGCCATTAAGGCCCCCATCTCCAAAATACATTCCATTTTGACGCCGGTCCATTGAAAGAAAGGAATAAACCCCCAAATTCAGCTATCGTTAATTGCACAGCAACTCGGGCAATTGCCTACAATGATATTTATTGCCAGTGCCTAATGCCTCATTGTCCAGGGGATTAAGCAGAATGGCTCATCCTCGCCCTGAAATCAAGGCAATGGGGTCTGAACGATGTTCTGATTTCGCCGCCGCCGCTTTGAAACTGCTCCGCTGACCTTTGAGGTCTTCCCAGCATAGCAGTGCAATCCTTACCTGGAGGCCTGAATCTCTTTCCAGCCCTGATTGTTATTACTTGCAATTTCCATAGCTCTTTTAAAGTGCAGAGTGCTTGACAGCCCTTATTTTATAGATGGGGAACGATGCTGAAAGATAGCATCTTCCCGGAGGGCGCTCAGCAACTGCACTGGCTGAGGAAGGACCAATCCTGAAGATGCACTCTAGATTTCCGCCGGCATTGCATGTGACCCTTGGTCAGGAAGGCAAACAGCTTCCCTCCATAATCACTCACCTCCCTCGAGGAAGCTCTCCTTCCTCCTTGCGCCAGCGAGACGTCGGCACAGGGTCCCCCTGCACCTCGCAGTGGAAATTCACAGTATCTTCTGCAAGCACCACTTGGTTTACAGGTCTCTTGATGAACGTGGGGCGTTCTGTCAGACGAAAAGCCAGAAACAAGGTTATCAGAGACACAGCAATCAGCAGGGAGAGAGGACAGTTCTTTTCCGTTCCTCTGCATTCTCCGCCCAGAGCCATTCCAACCCTATAATGAACACATGAAGCTGTCTTCCATAGAATCAGACCCTTGGTCCATCATGGTCAGTACTGTCTACTCAGACTGGCAGTATACGGGAGGGGCTGTGGCTCAGTGGTAGAGCATCTGCTTGGCATACAGAAGATCCCAGGTTCAATTCCCAGTATCTCCAGTTAAAAGATCTGGCAGTAGGTTATGTGAAAGACCTCTGCCTGAGAACTTGGAGAGCCACTGCCAGTCTGAGTAGACAATACTGACTATGATGGACCAAGGGTCTGATTCAGTATAAGACAGTTTCATGTATGTGTACAAGGATGGGAGGCGGGAGGACACGAGAGAAAGGAGCTTGTGATGTGCCACGCCACATGGCCAATCACCATCCATGCTCTTGAGGCTGCTTAGTTTATATCTAATCCTGCATGCCTTAATAGGAACACTTGTGGCTCCTTGGCCATTGAAACTTTTACAGTGTAGTAAAGGTAAAGGTTTCCCTTGCTTGAAAGCCAGTCGAATCTGACTCTAGGGGGCGGTGCTCATCTCCGTTTCCAAGCCAAAGACCCAGCGCTGTCTGAAGACGTTTCCGTGGTCATGTGGCCGGCATGACTAAATGCCGAGGTGCACAGAATACTGTTACCTTCCCACTTAAGCGGTACCTATTTATCTACTTGCAATTTCTTGCTTTCGAACTGCTAGGTTGGCAGGAGATGGGGCCAGAGACGGGAGCTCATTCCATCACGCGGCACTAGGGTCTCGAACTGCCCAATTACAGACCTTCCAGTCTGCAGCTCAGCATCTTAACCTCTGAGCCATGGCGGCTGTGTGGGTTTCTCCAGTGGGACAACAGTTCCATTACCATGTGGCTAGCGGCTACAGACCACAGACCACCAGCTTGCCACGTGGTACATTATTAAGCAACCCTCATGCCGCAAGTATTTATTTATGAAACCCTTTTCCACTGATAATTTCTAGCAAAACGCAAAAAATGTTTTTTGCTGACACTAATGGTTCTCCCTGTGGCGTTGAATAAGGGGGGGGGGTTGTGTGCCGAGGGAATATGTTTGGAACTTTTTATTTTGAGGCAGGAAAGGAATGTTTTCCCATTTCTCTCCATATACTGATTTGATGCCTTAGTTTAGGGGGTCCCAGCTCCTTGAGCCTGCTGCACCTTTGGAATCCAGGCCCAGCGTGGTGGACGTAACCACAAAATGGTCGCTAAGGGAGGCAAGAGCCCCAGCCACAAAATGACTGCAGCAGGAGGTGGCGCAACACACACAAAGGAAGTCCAAACGCAGGGGAGGAGTGACTAAAAAATACAGTGCGAAAGAGGGAGCGAGAGAGAATAAAACGAACACTGTGATTGCGGGTTCCACTGCAACAAGGTTATTTTAATCTGCACAGCCAATCAGATCTTCAATGGCAAGTCAGAAGCCCTGCTGGACAAGAGCCCCACCCACTTTCTATAAACACTCAGGGAGTACCAAGAAAGGTGTCAGTGGGTGCTGTGGCACCCATGGGCACCATGTCGAGGACCCCGCCTTAGCTCCATGAACGGAACTCCAGACCCGTCACATGGCCTTAGAATTACAGAATCATAGAGTTGGAAGGGTCCCCCAGGGTCATCTAGTCCAACCCCCTGCACAATGCAGGGAATTCACAAATGCCCCACCATCACCCTCAGGGACCCCTGTTCCATGCCCAGAAGATGACAAAAAAACCTCCGGGATCTCCAGCCAAACTGGCCTGGAGAGAAATTGCTTCCTGACCCCAAAGTGGTGATCAGCATTTCCCTGGGCGTGTCAGAAAGAGCCACGAGAACTAAGCATTATTGCAACCCTCTCTGCCCTCCCTCTCATGATCTGCCTAAATTCACAGAATCTGCACTGTTGTCAGATGGCCATCCAGCCTCTGTCTGAAAACCTCCAAAGAGGGAGAGCCCACCACCTCCTGAGGAAGCCTGTTCCACTGAGGAACCGTTCTGACTGCCATGAAGTTCCTCCTAATGTGTAGGAAAAAACTCTTTTGATTTGATTTCAACCCGTTGATTCTGGGGCAACAGAAAACAACTCCATACCAATGCTCCCTCTAAGCTGTGGAGTCTTGTGAGCAAAAATTCTACTTTGTGAGCTACTGGCAATAAAGTGGTGAGCGAGCAATCTGGCTACTGCATCAATTAGTTTGCTCTGGAGCCATCCCTTCCTGAGCGAAGACAAAAATCTGTGAGCTGGAGGTTAAAAAACTGTGAGCTAGCTCACACTAACTCAGCTTAGAGGGAACACTGCTCCATACCATCCTCTATATGACAGCCTTTTAAGTATTTGAAGATGGTTGTCCTTGAAAGGACGTTGTGTGTATTGTATCTGTGTGAGGAAATCTGAATCAGGGCCATGGTGCTTTGGAAGGGGAAGGATCAATGCTACTCCTCTGTGCCATTCGCGCAGTTAAAAATGTGTTCCCCCAAATGCTTTCAGCCCTAATTGGAGGGGGGGGGGATCTATATTCCACATACTTCCTGGGTTTTTTAAGAACCCAATGACATGTTGAATAAGTCTGACCTAAAAATGCTCCCCTTTTGGCATCACTACCTGGAGGCTATTGCTGGGGGGGGGGGGGGGGTGATATCAGTTGCAGAGATAAGAACACTAGGAATCCTGAGCACTCTTCCTTCATTTACCTTGATTTGTTCTTGGAATTATGTTTCCACCTCCTCCAATCCCCATCCCAAACCCAGTAAAAGTGCACATGAACCAAGCAACACAGTCGACTCCACAACAACCATCCCAAACTGAGCAAAACGGCATCTGTGTTGCGATACAAATGCAACCCGGCAAATGAAAGAGATCATCACCAAAGTTTTTGGCAGCTGATAGCAACAAATCAATCAGAACAGTTATCAGACAAAAACAGACCAGCTTGCTTAAGGGGGACCACAAATAATAATTATTAAACATTCAGTGCCTGAGTAGAAAAAAATATTTTGATCTGGCACCTAAACTTTAACAGGGAAATAGCCAGACCTTCGAAGGACGTCTTGCTTGATTTGAGGGAGCCAGCTTCTGCACAACCAAAATCTAACAATTGAAAAATGTAAATCTGAACATTATAGACAAGGATGCATCACTGAGGATGGTGAAACTTGAACTTCCTGCTTAGAGAGAACCTCAATATTTAAACATTCCTCATGATGGAACTGGCTATTGAAGGGTCAAAGCATAACCGACAGTGGGAGTTCTATGAAAAAGCTCCCATGTGGATTTTTTTCTTTTGGGAAGGAGGGCACACTGGCTCCTGATTCAAAAACTGGCTATTGAAGGGTCAAAGCATAACAGACAGTGGGAGTTCTATGAACAAGCTCCCATGTGGATTTTTTCTTTTGGAAAGGAGGGCACACTGGCTCCTGATTCAAACTGGAATCATGGCATAGGGCAGGGGTCCCCAACACGGTCACCATGGGATTTGATTTCTGCAGATTTTTTAAAAATGTTGTTTTGGCAGCAGCTGCCACCACAGCATGAGGAGGAGGAGGAGGAGGAGATTGGGTTTATACCCCACTTGGAGTCTCAGAGCAGCTTACAATCTCCTTTCCCTTCTCCTCCCCACAACAGACACCCTGTGAGGTAGGCGGGGCTGAGAGAACTCTGAGAGAACTGCCCATGAGAGAATAACTCTGAGAGAATTGTGACTGACCCAAGGTCACACCAGCAGCTGCATGTGGAGGAGTGCGGAATCAAACCTGGTTCTCCCAGTGTAGAGTCCACGCACTTAACCACTACACCAAACTGGCTCTCTGTGAGGATCATCACTGTGTGACTCAAGGTAAGCCGCGGCAGCCATTTTGTGGCTCCCTCTGCCTCCTGCAGCAGCTATTCTGCAGCAGCCATTCTATAGCATCCATTTTGTGGCTGCGCTCAACCTGTGGTGTCAGAATTCCAAAGCTGCCCACAGCCTCAAAAAGGTTGGGGAGGGGAGAAGAGGGTTTAAACCTCCAGTGCCATTTTTCTGATCTGTAATGGCCCTACAGATGGGCTTTTGGGGATAAACTCATAGTTCCCTTACTAAGATTCTTTATTAAGATCTGTGTTTGTACCACTGGGGCATATAGCAGCCGGTGGGGGCATTTCAGGTTGGAAAAATGGAAAAAAAGAGGAAGGCTATCCCCTCCAAGCCCCAGTCTGAACCGGAATCCCTTGAAATGGTTGCTTTTTAAAAAGAAAACAAATCAATCAGGACTCATTCTCAGAGTCCCCAGACTCAAGCGGCTTGGCCCTTAAATGATTTGTTCTTAATGGTGGAGCAATGTTTTGGCAAGCTGCGAGTTCATACAAGAAAGCAACTCGAAACCAAGATTTGCAGCACAGCTTGCCTCCCTCTTCACTTGTCTGGGCCCCTGAAAATAGATCCCTGCTCTTACGTACCAAAGACCACCAGTTCGGCCGGCTCACTGTCCCGTTCGCCCACCATGTTGGTGGCCACACAGACGTACATGCCAGCGTCACTCTTCCTCGTGTTGGACATCATCAGCTTCCCACCACGAATCTAGGAGGAAACGTCAACAGGAAAACACTGCTTAGAGCTACGTGCATAAATCTGTCTCAGCCAATGTTTTGCCTCCCCTGCAAGTCCACATTATCCATATGTCACAGCATGTAGCATTAGCTTTGGTGGCTTTATGAGGGGATTAGAACAATTTCTGGATGAGCGGTCCATCCGTGGCTATTAGCCATAATGGCTAAAGGGAATCTTCATGTTTGGAGGCAGTATACCTCTGAATACCAGTTGCCGGGGCAACAACCATGGTGCGGGGTTTTGGCTTCCCTGCCCAACTTCCTGGCTGCTGTGTGAAACAGGATGCAGGATGGAACCAATACTGCTGGGCTTTGTTTTTCTTCTTCAGAAGAGCTTGAAATCCCTGGCAACCTTTATAGAACCCCTCATTTGGAAGATGGAGAGCCAGAGATGTAGGGTCAGGCCTGCACATTGTGCAGTAATTCAGTAGTTCCAATATAAACATGGGAGTCACCTGTTTGTTTGGATTTGGCCTATGCCAGAAAATCAGTAGATGGCTTTAAGTCAGCCACAGTCTCTCAGATGCAGGGGCGCAGTATGTGGATACTGGCCTACCTTACAGGACCACAAGATAATGTACATGACACTTTCAACATTTATAGCATTACCATTACTTTATGACCACCACATGCTGTGGTTGAAACTGGCACCAGATGCAACACTTCGCATCCCGACAGGATCGCATTGGGGGAACGTCAACATTTTATTTAAAGAACAAACGAATGAACACATGGAGCTACCTCATACCAGCCTGGTACAGATGCCCCACTCCTGAGCACTGACTGAATGAGCAGGAAAACAAACACGGGCTCACTGCCCCCGCCCCCGTATGACTGCTGGGTTACTCGCAAGGTACAAATGCATATGGGAAGTATCTGCTCTTCCTGGACATTACCAACAGAGGTCATTTCGGGGGGGATCGCCAAGGTACAAATGCACACGGGAAGTATCTGCTCTTCCCCGTGATCAACGATGTTGCTTCCTGAACATTACCAACAGAGGTCATTTCGCGGGGGATCGCGGGGGATCGCAGTCCCCCCGGGTGAGGTACGGGGGGGCA